AGAGAGAGAGAGAGAGAGAGAGAGAGAGAGAGAGAGAGAGAGAGAGAGAAAGAAACTATTTTCCATGAACTATAAAGAGAAGATAACTGTCTGACAAAAGAGAGGTGCAACTGAAACTTATGGCAATGATTTTTACCTTAGCAATCTGTATCTGCCTTGAGATTTGTTCATAACAACAAAGCCCATGACAATCAATATGGGATTCTATATCAATTACCTGAACATTACTGGACACCAGTTTAGATCTATAAATAGGATCCTAGAAACTTCATTGAGAATCAAGAACTTCTTACTTCTTATATTGTACTGCTACCAATTCTCCTCTCTCACAGCAAAGGTAAATAGATAAGAAAATTCTATCCCTTCTACCTTTAAAGTATATCGAGACTCCAACTACTCTCTTCACTACTTCCATCATTTTCATTATCTTCTAAGGTAACATTTGCAGTTAAGCAACCAAACTAAAATCTTTGCTTCCACAACAATCCTACCTTCACCACAATCCACAACAATAACTACCTGCTATTAATTCCCAACATAAAACTCAAAGAAATCCTTAAGTATGAATTGCTACCAAAGCCGTCCTGTGCCTCTAACACCCTCACCTCCTACAATTCAAAGCGGGACCTTACTTTCTACCACTCTACTATATTCTCCACCCTCCAACAACAATGGTTTTCTTACTCTAAAAGTCACAACATACACTATGTCAGGGCTTTAAACTTGCACTGCCCCGAATCAGTATCTCTATACAGGGCTTTCTAAGGATGATCCCTCTTGCCCATGTGTTTGATGTGCATTCATGTGTCTTCTCCCCGCTCCACCCCACGGCTAGTCTAATCACAAACATCTCTGAACTACAACTACAGCATAGGATATATCTGCTCACTGTCTGATGCCCACTAAAATGTGACTTTTACAAGAATCCTAGTACTAGTGTCCACGACAGTGCCTGTTTCTGCATACAAGTATTTAAAGATTTGCTAAAGAAATCTGTGGACTGGGGGCTGGAGAAATGGCTCAGCGGTTAAGAGCACTGACTGCTCTTCCAGAGGACCTGGGTTCAATTCCCAGCACCCACATGGCAGCTCACAACTGTCTGAAAATCCGGTTCTAGGGGATCTGACACCTTCACACCAATGCACATAAAAGATAAATAAATCATAAAAATTAATAAAAAAATTAAAAAAAAAGAAATCTGTGGATTAAGTAATCAAATAATAGCAGATTCTCTCATTATATTATCCTACAACATGAAACAGTTTAGAAATATCCAAAATCAAATAACAAACATAAGGGAGAAAAGTTATTAATACTAAAATACTAAGAGAAATATTAACATAGCTGGGAATTACATGCTACATCTAAAAAAAAATCTCTAAGCTGAAGCTCCTTGGAGGAGCCCAGTACCTGTCGGTCTGTAATTTCCAAGTGCGGGTGTGCTGAGCAGCATCTCCATGGTGCTGCTGATGCAGGTGCTGAGGGTGCCGTCTTTGCTGCTGTTCTTGCTGAACTTCTACCCAACATGGAGGAACAGTAGCTGAAAATCGTGGAGTCAGTGTCTCAAATCGAGTTAGCTCTACTAGAGACGTCAAGATTTCAAGTGTGAAAGGCTGGTCCACCAATAAATCAACTCCTTAACAGCAGTGAATGTAGTATTTGAAACAGATTTAAAAAGAAAAGATGTTATTTTAATTCATGCTTTTTGTCTATTCAAAATACGATATGTCAAATGTATAAAGCAGGCTAAGGAATCTCTACTCCACACTAATTAGCACTGGCCATGGTACAGCTCAGTCAGCACACCCAAACACAGTCTGCTAGAAATGGGCAAATATGACATTAAAATGCAACCCACCTTACTTAGATCGGTGATTAATTTTTATAACATGTTATTTACAAAGCAAATACAAGGTGCCAGCAATTTCATAAGAAATGCCCTTTTATAATCAATTAAATTTAAAACAACAGTCAAAGGCTAGTCTGACAGCAATAAACATTTACAAACATAAAGATTAAACTAGCCCTTCTCTTCTGTGACAACTTCTAGAAATGCCAATATTAAATAAATTAAGTGAAAATGACCACATTCTATGCTACTAGTTCCTAAAGTTAACAAAATTAACTAGTGCTCATCAAGAATGTACTTTATATATAAGACAGAAACATCAAAATGTAAAACTGTAGAGAACTATAAAGAACATATACCAACTTCAGATATTACTCCTATTTGGAATGTGTGCAACATCTTCTATGAGGAGGGGTAATGGGGAGGAACTGAATTGCAGGTAGACAAAAATCAGCCTCCACATCACAGTACTCTAGACTCAGACTCCCAAGGTGTTAAAGCTGTATACTACTACATCTAACTGTTAAAAGACATTTTTCATTGAAAAAGTCTTAAGCTTCCCCAGGCACCAGACAGGTTTCTCTGTGTAACCCCTGGAACTCGCTCTATAGAGCAGGTTAGCCTTGAACTTAGTGACCTGTTTGCCCCTGCCTCCAGAGTGCTGGGATTAAAGATGTGTGTCACCACCACTGCCTGGCCTTAAGCTTCTTTTATTTACTGCTTTTTAAAGTATTTTTTTATCAAATGCTTTTGCTAAAATTTTATTTTCTCAAATATTTATGTGTATGAATGTTTGCCTGCATGTATGTATGCATACCACTTATGTGCCTGGTACCCGTGGAGGTTAAATATTAGGGTAGGAAGATAAACTGTGGTGTATGTTAAGAGTTATAGAAGCACAGAAGGATTAACTGCATATGTAGACGGAGCAGTAGAAGGCTTAGTACAAGGGAAGGAACACAGTTCAGTGAGAGAGAACTTCTTTGCCATATATAAAGCACGGGCTTTGATCCACAGCAGAGGGGAATAGGAGGAAAAACCATGGACTGGACAAAAGTGTGACCGAAAAAGGGAAAGGGAACCAAATGCAACATGTCAAGACCATGAAACAATTATATACTTAACACATTACTAAGTGGGGCTGGAGAGATAGTTAAGAGCACTGATGATCTTCTCAAACAGACCATCCATATGGGAGCGACAACTGTCTACAACTCCAGTGGTATGGGATGTAATGACCTCTTCTGGATCCCACAGCACCATGGATACATGTGGTGCTGGCGCACAAACATATATGCAGGTAATATACACATAAAGTAATTTTTTAAAAAATATTTTTAAAAGAAATCATGAAGTTTACCTGGGAATGGTGGCGTACACCTGTTATTCCAGTACTAAAGGGAAGGTCAGGTGAATATCTGGGTTGGAGGCCAGCCTGGTCTACACAGTAAGTTCCATGCTAGCCAGGGCTACATAGTAAAACTTCTTTTAAGGAAACAAAACAAAAAAAAAAACTTTAAAAAAAAATCAATTCATTGTATCTAGAGAAACAGCCTAGTTATTTCATAGGTGTCAACAAAGTCAAGAAGAGATTTTAAGCTTGGATTAATACACTATTGCTACTTCTTTTGTAAAATTAACTCTAAAAACAGTACAGAGTGTGGATGAGAACAAAGGCAAGAGTAACAAGCTGGAAACTAAACAGTATCCACTAGCCCTTTGTCAGGAGACTCAGGTGAAGTATGAATTCAGCCTAACTAATACTGACAGACCTAGAATTGGGGTGGGCATGGACAATGAGAACAGCATAAACAACAAACACACAAAATGCTATCCAAGGATTCTATGGGGAAACAACAATGTTAATATACATCTTCGGTAAGACTGTCTTGTAGCTATTCAATTACATATAATATTAAGACTATTATCCACTCCATTGATTCTACACTTATTTAATGTTCCTCCTTATTTGAATTTTGATATCTTATTAAATTATCTGTATGTCTTTATGAGAGTAGGGACATGTGAGTACAGGTGCCCCTGGAGACTAAAGGCATCAGAGTTACTGGAGATGCAATTATAGACTATTGTGAACTGTTGACATTGGTGCTGGCAACTGAACTCCAGTCCTCTGGAAGAACACAAAGTGCTCTTTACTGTTGAGCCTTCTCTCTAGCCCCAATGTCTCTCTTTTTCTCATTGTACTCTTTAATTAAGCTAAAAGCTATATATTGAAGAAAAATGGCTCAGTGAGTAAAAGTGCCTACTGTCAAACCTAACAACCTGCGCTCAGATTCGGGGACTCATGTGGTAGAGAGAACCCACTCCAAGTGGTCCTCTGATTTCCACACAAGTGTTATGGTACGTGCACACTCATACACAAAATAAATGAACAATTAAATAAAATGTGATTTTTAAAAACTTAAGAGAATGTTTTTACTCCTTAAGCAGACCTCACTGATGAACCTATGAAGATCATTTCTTTCTTTAATAAGTTTGAACATTTTTCAACTACCAAAAGGTAATAATAAATAATGTATAACAATAAGTATGGTCAAAGACTGTCTTTCTAAACAGGGCAACCAAGACTTCATTGTTAAAAATAAATAAATAAATAAATACTATTATAAGGTATGCTCAATTATTTAAAAATGTAGTGTCTTACCTGAAATACCAGGACTTGAAGGATTTGATAAAGGTCTAGAACCTTCTAAAGATGGTTCTATTCCTTTAGAAAGGGATCCATCTACCAGAATATCAGCTTCATCAATATCATCACAGGTTCCTCCAATTTGGAGAAAATGAAGCTCACCACCTACAGTGTAGTAAAATTTCATCAATACATAGAAAATAGTTTAAAAATTAAATACATTATTAATTTAAAATTCACTTATTTTAATACTATTTGACACAAAAAACATCACAGCAGTTATCTGTGTCAAAGAATTTGGAAATTTAGTTGCAATGAACTACAAACAATATAGTAAATAGCAGAGAGATATTTATCTCAGAACTACAGAAATGGTCCAGTAGTAAAAAGTATTTCTTCATGCAAAGGACTTGGGTTCAATTTCCATTACAGCCAGGGATGCTCACAACCATTTGTACCTCCAGTTCAAGGGGATCTTAAACCTTTTTGTCTGACCTCCAAGAACACAAATACATGCACAGACATACATGCAAGCAAAACACTAATACACATTTTTTAAAAGGTATTTATTTTCATATCATTACATTATATAACATAACGATTTGATATCTTTGACTAATCTAAACTTTACCAAAAGCCTGTGATCATCTTACAGATGAGGACAACAATACAGAGGCTATATATACATTAAGATCCATAGCCCAATCTCTTAATTCCAGAAGTAACAAAAATGAACAAACATTCTAAACTTCTGATGCACTCACAAGGAAAATTTTAAAAACCAAATCAAATTTTTAGTTTTCCTATCTCTGTCAAACAAAAAGAAACAGCAAATATGAGACTAAAAAAATTCATGACTACAAATAATATTACACTGTAACATAAATTTATATAGTTAAACTTCTGATAGAAAAGCTGTGACTATATACTTGCACACATACGTGTATAAAAGTTTATATAGATACATAGTCAAATAGCTTTTTTGTCATATACCTATGTTCAAAGAAATATATATATATATATATATATATATGCTATAAAACCTACAGTCAAGATGAGGGAAGTCATGAACACCTGCCAATTCATTGCCACTTCCTAAGGGAACTTGACCTACAGAGCTTTGAGAGTTAAAAAGTGTTAGTCTCAAGTGAGAAGCCAACAAGGCCTTCTATGTGAGGTTACAGTCCTTAAATATGGAGAAAGCAGAGCACTGAAAAACCAGATGACTAACAAAATAACAAGTAGCAAGAGAAGCACATGGATTGGGTAAACTCTCCCCACATAACCCACTCAGATCCTTCACACATGGTCAGCAACCACCAAAGAGGCCCCAAGTCAGTTAGCCTAAGCTCCACTTCAATGCAAGAGACCTGAGGAATTCCATCAGAAAATAAAGTCAGAGAAACAGAGACACTGCATAAGGTTGTGAAACACAACAGGCTGACTGAACACTAAGGTATGCTGACACAGAAACAAGCCTCCCTCCAACCCACCGTCATCCAAGCAAAGCAACCCTAATTAAAGTCAGGAGGGAGAGTGTGTATATGTGTGTGTTTGACCTGTCAAGAGGAAGGGAGGGTGTGTTTGCATGTGTGCAAGCATGTGTGAAAGTATGTGTGACCTTTTGGGGGAAAAAAAGGATACAAAGAGGAGAAGGAAACGATAATATAGGATAATATGGGAGGCTGTGATTATAATCAAAATACATTACACGTGTATAAAATTTAAATTAACATAAACAAACTATCTTTACAAATAAAAACCAAGGGAAAATGAGGACAGTCACCTGTAAGAATACACTGCAAAGAAAACAAACTTTAGAGTCAGTTGAGCTACAAAATTCACTAAGTAACAATCCTTAAGGAGAACGGAACTAGACTGACTTTCTATAACACTAAATAAATGCCCAGCCATGAATTAAGATGGACCAAGAAAGGCTACCCCATACTTGCTGGATGAGAGGGGAAAAGGAGCTGGCTGTGATGGCATACGCCTTTAATTTCAGCACTTAAGAGGCAGAAACAGGTGGAGGAAACTTCCCTATTAGACAGGAAACATTTACCCCACAAATCTGCTCAGTTCAATGAACTCAAACAAACTGAGACGCACATGTAAACAATTGATAATAAATAGCTGTAAGAATACCATGCAAAGGGCTTGAGTAACTGTGGCTCTAGCACAGGGTTGGCGACACATTCCCAGCATCTATGTCAGCTCACAACTCCCTATAATGCCACTTTCAGGTAATCTGATGTCTCTGGCCTTTAAGCACAACAGCATTCCCAAACACATAATCCAAAATAATAAAAATAAATCTTTAAAACCAACATGTCCAACCTTTAACAGAGATTTTAAAAAAAACTTTAAAAATGTTTGATCTGAAGATTTTACTCAGTAAAATTATTATTATTATTATTATTTTGAGACAGGGTTTCTCTGTGTAGACTCTGTAAATCAGTTTCTACTCTGTAGACCAGGTTGGCCTCAAACTCACAGAGCTCTGCCTTTGTCTCTGCCTCCTGAGTATGGGATTAAAGGCAAGCACCGCCATCAACCAACTACAATTAAATCATGACAGCACAGACGAAACAAAAGAATTACTGAGTTCAAAGACAGGCTACCTAAAATAGACAACAATTTGAGAGGAAAGGGAATGAAAAAGGGAGGAATTTTAGATAGTATAAAGGAGCAACTATTTGAGGTATTGGGAGTTCAATAAAGACCTGAGAAAGTGAAAAGGATAGATTTATTTTAAAAACAAATATCCAGATACAAAAAGGACAAGTCACCAATCAAATCTAACCAATTCAAACCCAAACATTATATAATCAATCTCTCACAGATGAAAGGTGAAGGTTCTTATGACTGTAAGAGAAATGAAACAACAAACAGATGCGCCCTCAATTTACAATTTACTTGATTGCTGACTTCTCAACAGAAACGTAAGAATTTTTTGTTTTGTTTTGAAACAGAGTCTCACTATGTAGCCCTAGAAAACACTATGAAACAAGACTGGTCTCAAATCTACCTGCCTCTGCCACGCGAATGCTAGAATTAAAGGCATGCACCACCACACTCTGCTGTCTTGAACATTAACTTTAGAAACATGAAAAGCAAGATTCAAAGATCTGAAAGGAGGAAAAAAAAAACTCAAACAATATTGTACATATAAAAGCTAACTTTTATAAATAAAGGAGAAATACTTTGCCATCCAAACAAAAGCTGAAAGAATATATATTTAACAGGTAAGTTTTTGGTGGTGGTCGTGGTGGTTCTCCTGTATGCTTTCTTACACAGCCTAAGTTGGCCTTAAACTCATGATGTAGATAAAGGCAGATTCAAGGAATCAGCTTCTACCTCAAACACATTCTACCACAAAAGCAAAACAGGATAGCTTCTGAAAATACAGACAGGAATGGAATGCAACTGTACCCGTTTTTATAAACGTATTATTTCTGTTCTTATTCCTTTTTTAAAAATTTTATTACATTTGTTGTCTGTGTGTGCCTGTTCATGTAAGTGCACATGCCACAGTATGAACACATGTGGAAGTCAGAGGGCAACTCTAAGGAATTGGTTCTCTGCTTGTACATGTGGGTTACAGGGATCAAACTCAGATAACCAGGCTTGGCTAGCAAGTGCCTTTGCACAATGAGCCACCTCAATGGCTCCTGTTCTTATTCATACAATCCTGTGAACTAGCTACCGTTTCAAAACAACTTGCTATAATCAAAATTATTCACCACAAATCTTAAAGTAACAAGAACATCGGTCTCCATAATAAGCAAACCAAAACGGAGCAATTAATCAGAACACACAACTCAAGTAACTCACTAAAGCACTAAAAGAGACTATAGGACAATTTAAAAAAAATATACAACAAAATTAGAAAAGAAGTAGCGTAATAGCTGTAAGGTCTTACTTATACTAACTGTCTTTACTATAAATTGATGAAATTATCTGATTAAAGACACAGAGTGACTAAAAGGGAGAACTGGACTAAACTCTATGTCACTTTACAGAGATCCACTACACCTCTATGAACTTTGACTAACAGTGATGAAATGAGTAAAATGTCCCATGCAAATGCAATCCAGAGGAAAGCAGGAGTGTTATAACAATACCAGTAAAATTAAAAGAAGTAAAAAGCAGTGAAGAAGGTAGTTATATAATATAAAGGGCTCAATTCAGCAAAGGACAAGAAAATTCAGTACCAGGGTGGCAGAAATAGTAGGGTCTATCCCCATCTCCCCAACTCCCTGCATAGAGACAGAAGTATCACTGGAGCTTCATCATGATTCAAATAGTTTCAGGTTGAGAGACCCTCTACCAAAAGAACCACAGTATAGAATAACAAACATTCGCCTCTGGCCTCCATGAGCACAGGGATATATGCAAAAGCACAAACAAAACAACAAACATAATACAAAAATGCTGTAATCAAATCAGTATGATACTAAAATAAAAGACACATAAACACATAGAACACATTAAGACAAATCCATATAGCTACAACCAACTGATTTTCAAAAACATGCAAAGTACATAAACTAAAGTATGATCATTTCAACAAATGGTTTGTGGAAAAGTAGATGTTCAAATGCAGAGTAAATATAAACCACTATCTCTTACCAATTTTAAGTACCAGCTCAAAGAGAATTACACTTAAATGTACAACCTGATAACCCCACCACATCGGAGAATAAAGGAGGAAAAATGTCTGAGTTTGAGGCTAGCCTGGACTACATAGTATATTCCAGTCCTGTCTGGGCTACAGAATAAGATTTTATCTCAAAATAATAAAAAAGTAAAAAAAACAAAAAAAGTCAAAAGTATGAAAAGTACTAGAACAAAACAAAGAAGAACTGCTTCAGAATACTGAAATGAGCCAAGGTTTAATTTTGAGATCAGTCTCCAAAAGCAAAAGAAATGAATGGGAAAATAAACAAATGAGATTACATAAAACTAAAAAGCCACTACATAACAATAAGAATCATCGCCAGGTGTGATGGTGCACACCTTTAATCCCAGCACTCAGGAACCACAGGCAGGCATTTCTCTGAGTTCAAGGCCAATCTGACCTAACTTGAAAGTTCTAGAACAGCCAGTGCTACATAACACAAGGACCCTATTGCAAAAACTTAAAACTTAAAAATAAGAACAAAGAAACAGTAAAAAACATTCAACAGAGCACAGACCCAACAAATAGAATCAGTGAGAATATGTGGAATGCATACATACAAGAAGGTGATATCAAAAATATATAAGGAATTCCAAACACTCAACAAGAAAAAAAGAGACAGAGCAGTAATTAAAAACTCACTGGTTGCTCTTACAGAAAACATGGTAGCTCACAACTCTCCAGTTACAGGAGAGATGAGGCCTTCTTCTGGCCTCCTCAGGTATTGCATAAATGTAGTACACACACATACATGCATGAAAATACCCATACAGTATGGCAGCCGGTGAGCTGGTTCAGTGAATAGACACTTGCTGTCAAGCCTGACAAGCTCAAGAGTTCAACCTCTGGAACCCATACGGTAGAAGGGGAGAGCTTGAACACACACACAAATGGGGCGAGGGGGCGCAGGACGGAGGTTACCCAAAATACTTTCATTGCAGAAGTACAATACACTCCAGTAATTGGACTACTCGGTAAATTACCACCAAAGGAAATCATTTTGTCAAAGAGACATTTCATGCCCATATTCATGGAAATACTGAATTTATCATAGCCCAAGAAATGGAAACAACCTAAGTGCCCTTAAACTCATGAAATCAAAGAAAAAAAAAATCTGGCACATATTTACTACTCAGCCATATAAGAGAATGAAATCTGTCATTTAAAATGACATGGGGGCTGAAGAGATGTTTCAGTGGTTAAGAGCACTGACTGCTCTTCCAGAGGACAAGGGTTCAACTCCCAGCACCAGCTTACAGCTGTCTGTGAATACAGTTCCAGGGACCCGGACACACTTACACAGGCATACACACAGGAAAAACACCAATGCACATAAAAATAAAAAAGCAGATTTTAGCTGGGAAGTGATGATGCAAGTCATCTCCCAGCAGAGGGAGGCAGTTCTCTCTAAGTTTGAGGCGAGCCTGGAACTACAGAGTGAGTTCCAGGACAAGCCAGAGCTATTACACAGAAAAAAAAAAAAAACAAAACTGTCTCAAAATAATCAAAACAGTAAAAATTATAATAATAATAAAATGACATGGGTAGAACTAGAGATCATTATGTTAAGCAAAATAAATCAGAAAAGTACCTCAATGAAATGACTCGTGTAAAATCTAAAAAAGTTCATCTCGTGTAAGTTCACAGCAGAATCGTAGTTACAGAGGCCAAGGACAGGAAAGAGAGAAATGTGAGATCAATGAACACTAATACAGCAGGAAGCAGCTCTGGGTAACTACTATACACTATGTTGCATATAACATCATATATGAACATGTCAAAGAACCAGAACAAAGGACTTCAAAGTTTTCCCCATGAAGAAATGATGAATAAGGCATAAATGTTTAATGTTATTTAAATATTACTCAATATTATATAGATGCATCAAATATTATAATGGTAATTCAATGATTTTGTGTAACTTCTAGTTTTTGTTCATGTTACAATCATTTAATTATAAAAATTTTTAGACTGGGCAGTGGTGGCTTATAATCCCAGCACTTGGGAGACAGGTAGGTGGATCTCTGTGAGTTCAAGGCCAGCCTGGTCTACAGAGCCCTTTCCAATAGCTGAGGAAATGGCTAAGTAGAAAAAGAGTTTGCTGACAAAGCATGAGGATTGGAGTTTGGATGCCCAGAACTTATGGAGCATCAGATGGGTATGGTGGCCACCTGTAATTTTAATGCTCAGGAGGCAGAAACAAAGGACACTTTGAACAAGCTGGTCAGCTAGACTAGCTAATCAAGATCTGGATGCAACTGAAATTGCCTCAATGAAGATGGAGAGCTGGAGAGACTCAACATCAGCCTTGGGATGGCAGCTCATATCAGCTCACACACAGGGCAAGGATGCTTGCTTTAGTTCTCCAGCAGTTGGTCCTATTAGCACCTGAAATCCCGGCATTGAAGAGAGTTCAGGACATTAAGGAAAATTAACTTATTACAAGAGATTGCTTCCTAGAACCCTGCTGTCCTAACTCTAAGAATATATCAATCTACTTTCAAATATTAGTCTTACTAAATTATATACCATCAAATAACTGAAATAATTAAACCCTTACTACATTTCTACAAATAGTAGTATCTTACAAGCATGTGCCCGGGCCAAACCACTCAAGCATCATATTGGATGATTTATGGCAAGTTGACAACTTCTCAGATCTTTCATATATTGAACACTACAAAGAATTCATTTTAAGAGTCCTCAGCTTTTGCTATACACTGACAGTGTAGTGTATACATAGTTTAAAAGACTCAAGACAACAAACCAACTAGCTTAGAATCGTCTCTACCATTCATTAGCTCTGTAATGAGGACAAGTTACTGAACTCTCCTTTACTTAGTTTACTAATCTGGAAAGTGGGCTCTACTAAAAAGCATATGCATTATAAAGTTGATATCATCACTGGCAGAGTAACAAACTGGCACATGTGATCAGTAAGCTAAAATTCCTCAGAACCTTATAGGACTTAAGAGATATTCTCAAGTCTTACCCATACTTTAAAGTTTGTATCATTCAAAAGGTCTGCTGAACTGCTCATACTGTTTATCAGCTTACTTTTATTTTAATGCAATTTGAATACTTTTTCCCACTGCAGTGATGTAGCTCAAAAATGCAATCTGAACAAAATCAATACACTAGCTACTAACCTCTTTGGCTAAGCCCTGGTAATCTACTTAACGAAAAGCACAGAGAGAGAATGAGTGAAGTTTTTCCCAAATCCACCAAGTCTTAGCTTTAATCATCTAAGCATCAAAAATTTTGTGGCCCTACAATTCCAACTAACCTACCAATAGCAAACAGTATTTGTTATGCCTCAAAAGTTCAGTAATTCTTGTCAAAATCTGTTGTACCCAGTTACTTGATTTACACAAATATATGGAGAAATGTTGCATAATGTCCTCAAATGTTGTGAAGCTAATTTTTAATCAACCAAAGACTATGAGTAAAGAGAATCAAACATTTTAACACTTTGTAAAACTAAGGATTAATTGCCAAGTAATTGCTAAATTCTTTTTTTCCAGACGTAATCTGTGCCAGAAACTTTATATACATTATTTAAATATAATGAGCCTAAGCAATAGACTGTGGCAGCTAACCAACTTGGCAGTATTAAGAGATGCCTAAAAATCAAAAAAGCATCTGTAAGTGAATCTATGAGAGCATTTGCACAAAGGAGCAGAGGTGGGGAACTGTCCTGAATGTAGGAGTCCCTTTGGAATGAAAGAACCACAAGCTATAATCATTCTCTCTTCCCTCACCTTACACACACACACACACACACACACACACACACTCTTGCTTTGTATGTGCCATGACTCAAGTTTCCCTGTTCAGTCATACGTTCTTAATTGTGACAAACTAAATTTCTGAAACCATGTGCCTGAGTTAAGTCCTTCCTCCGTTAAGTAGCTTATGTCAAATGTGTTGTCACATCAACAAGTCTAACACATAGGGCATCTATCCTATTTTCTGAAGAAACTAGGTCCACAAATGTAGGCAGAGTCAGAATTCAGAAAATATCAGGATGCCTGTTTCTTGAAGTTAAGCAAAGATCTTTCTTGCTACACAATCGAGGCTGGCCTTGACCTCATGACCTTGGAGTTTTAGGGTCCCAAGTAAAGCTTTGTATTCAGCTAGAAAGATACTTTCTGATGACTTACTAAGTTACTCACAAATATATTTCTTGCATAGGGGAAGTTTTAAAAATAAAATAAAGAAAAAATTAAGGTCAGTAAAAATAGTAGGGAAATGGACAACTACATTATTTAAAAACAAAAAAGAATCCTCACTCAACACAGACCTAAAATTTACACTAGGTGTGTACATAGACAAATGCCACATAAAAATACTGAGAAGAATCAAGCCAATAGCTCACCTTTGGTGCACGCACACAGCCTATCTGTGCCTGAGCAGTAAATGACAGAAACAAATGTATCCTGTTCTTCAGTGCCCTCCTTTTTGGGAGGCTCCACTTTGGCCAAAATTTCAAAGTTTGAAAGGTCTAATACTTTCACATATCCTCCCTGAGTGGTTATCACCAGGTGTCCAAGAGTAGAAATGTCAGACTTCTTTTCTCTTTCAATCCCATTCTTTGAGGTTGACTGCACGTCCTCAGCAGGCTCTTCACAGTCATCCTCTCGATTATCCAGTATATCTGGTGGAAGCAGTATGAGCGAGGTAATTGTGTCCTGGGGATCTTTGATATGTTGGATTTTTACTGGCTCCTCTTCTAAAGTCACTATTCGAGTGGTATAATTCATTTTGTAAAGAACTAAATATCCACCACTAACATTCCTCTGCTCCGGATGGATGATCAAAGGAGTTGGTACATCTGCTGGTGACTCGTGTTGGATCACACTAATATTTGCACCATTCACTACAGCAAGATTGGACTCCAGTTCACCTTTCCGTCTATTACATAGTGCAGAGTTTAATTTATTTAAATTATTCAAGGCCTCGACTTGATTTATTGCACTCAATGATTCAACAGAGCATGTTCGCAGTCCTACCAACAAATGAATTCCATCAGCACAAGGAGTTATGGAGTCTATACAAAGAGTCTCCTCCTCTGCAAACTTTGGTAGCCTCAAGCACTGAACCAAAGTCCCAGGCTTGGGTAACACAGAGTTCCACTTTTCGGAATCTGGAGAGGTGAGACTGGCTGCTGCATCTGCAAACTGCTGAATGTAAGTCACAGGAGGATCCTGCAACAACAACTGCTCCTGGTTATCCAGTTCCATTTCAATAATCTGTGGAACCGTAAAACCGTCATCGTGCAAACTTTTACTCATAATATTGTTCATCTGTGAAAAGATTTTTCCTGCTTTTTCATCAGATTCTTTGATACTATAAAGAAGTAAAACAGGCAAAGTCCTCCTTACCAGAGGAGAATTCAGTTCTGAATTTGTGCAGGATTCATTGTCAGTTGACCCTTGTTCTGATATACTTTCGCCCTGAGTTCTGCTTAAACCATCCAGTGACCTATGGGAATTACTACTAATGGGTGAGGTAGCGGGAGATTTATATGTTAATAAACCTCCAGCCAATAAACACGGAAAGGGAATGTTGTGTTGCTCCTGGTGCTTCTCCTTTGTCTTTTCACTCTTAGAGTTTGTTAAGCAAGGATTTGCCCCAAGTTCTTCAAGATCCTTAACAGTATCCTCAAGCACATTTGCCACAATCTCCCACTGCAGTTTTTCTGGCTGTTGGAGAATGCTGAGTGCTGTTATATCAAGGCTTATTTCCATGGCTTCCTTTTGTGACGTATGACCTTTGAAAACAAACAACACATTAGAAGCAGCAAGAGGTCTTGGTGATGTTAATTGCAATCAGTACTTCAGTGAGCTTTTTTCCTAATTCATCTGGTCTATTCATTATATCAAAGACAAGAATTCAAAGTATTTTATGGCTACAAGATAGATCAGCAGGTAATGACACTTGCCCTGCAGGGAGACTCAGCTCCATCACTAGGACCCACATGGCAGAAGAAAACTAACTCCCACAAGCCGCCCCTCTGGCTTCACACGTACGCATGTGCCCATACATATATACACATACAAAATTAAGTGATTTTTAAATTTCAGTTATTTAAAAAAAACTTAATCAAATCTCAGATAACTTTATGTAAGAAAATAAAAAAAAAACTATTCAAGAAATTCAAAATTATTGTCAGCTCAAATACATTCTTTAGAGAACTAAAGAAAAAATAATTTTTCAGGCATGGAAAGGTAAACAAAATTACTATATTTAGTCATTGCTTTAAAATTATATTAAAAGAATAGAATTTCTGGACTTCAAATCTAAATAAAAAAAGAGATGCAACACTATTTGTGCATTGTAATTTATGCACTTAAATACTTAAGAAAAAAACACTATAATCTCAAGTCCTCTCTTCTTAATACTTTAAGATTCAAAGCACCATTTCTTATCTCTTGCTTCACAATACTGACAGTCATGTATAGACAAAATCCCACCAGAGACAACAACCATCCACTTAGGTAACCTAACACCGAACTGAAAATTCTTTCAACCAATCTTGGTTGTTTTTGTTCTTTTTTTAATTTTTCAATAATATGTAATAATCAGTCAGTAACAACGATGTAAACAAAACTCTGATAGGCAAAAAATAAAGAAAAATTAGAGGTGCTTTTATAATTAGGCAGGAAGAGTCAAGAGAATATTAAATGAAGTGTCTAGATGTACAAGCAAGTGATAAGTAAGGATTCAGTGGATCACCGAGGTGTCCTGATATATACCAGTAGAGTCCCTTTAATGCTCACTTATAGTGTTAGCCAGGATGTCCCATTATCTGGGATAATCTTCACATCACATACTACTACTAGCCTCTACCATTGAAATCTTTTATAACTGAAGCAGAAAAACCAGACTGTTCATTCCTTCCATATTCTGTATCTAGAATAACAAACAGCCACTTCACTACATAGCATTGTCTATATCTACTTTCTCAGACTGGAAATTCTGAGTAAAAAGTAAAGTGTTTTTATAGTTTTCATTATGTATAATATATCCTGAAGATGCTTACCTATTTGTTGGACTAAACTAAAAAAATTAAATGACATTTTAAAGTTGTGACAAGAAATTGTTCAAATAGAATAGTTTTGATCTATTTATATATTAAATCAAATAAATCCACAAAGCACACAAAGTTAAGACAATACTGAAAGTAAATGGCATGCATAATAAAACTGTTGAAAAGGAAATGACAGACTAGGTTGGGTGGCTCACTGCTGTAATCCCAAGATTCAAGAGACTGAGCTGGGAGGATTACTATGAGATGAAGTCAGTCTAGGCTATATAAAGAGCTCTAAGACAAGTTAGGATACAGTGCGAGAACCTGCGCAAAGAAAGCAAAGAACTAGAAAATAAATATACAACAGAAAAATATAGTAAATGGTCCTACTTTTCTACTTCCTGTTATAAATACTCAATGCACATATGGGAAACAGAATAACTCGTTGAGAAAATCTGACACCTCTAACTCTATTCCTCCTTCTTCAATTTTGTTTGAAATACCCTAGAATAACATGACACCATGCATGTCAGGCAACTACTCTGCCACTGAACAACAGCCAGATCCTTAACTCAGAATTTCTAAAAACCAACAAGACCACATAATAACTATTTTTTATGCAACATACCTGCGATGCAATACTTTCCAATCACTTTGAGTAATCCTTCTGTAGCTCGCTTTCATAAGTAGTATCAAAGCCACAGTTTACAACAGTCATACTTCCTAAGCAATTGGATTTTGTCTTGGCTCTTTCCTAGAGTCAAAGTTCAATTCTCATGCCAACCCTTCTCTGCAGTCTTCATGAGAAGTCATGTTTCCTTAATTCTTATACATGGTTCAGACAAAAAAACTTTCTCTTTGAAATTAACAAGGGACTTTCAAAACTTACAATCTTCAACCAAAAAACGGATACCTCTTACTGTGTACTCATAATTTTGAGGTTAATATATTCTACAATTCTTTGAACTATGTCACTCAAACTAACAACAAATCACTTAGAGTTGTAAAGTTCTGAAATGGCACCTAAAATTTTTAAGATGCAACAAGATAAAACTACATCTCTTGTAACTATCAAGTTTAGATATGCTTACGCCATGATTCTCCAAAAAGTTAATAATATAAAAACATACTGTTGCCAGGCAGTGGTGACCATGCCTATAATTTCAGAGGCAGAGGAAGGCAGATCTCTGTGAGTTCAAGGCCAACCTGGTGTACAGAGTTAGTTCTAGGACAGTCAATGCTACACAGGGAAACCCTGTCTTGAAAAACCAAAGGGGGTGGGGGTGGGGATAGGTTAGAACCTATATATTTAAAATTAGTCTCACAAAAATCTATCTTCCTATGAAAGAATAGCCGACTTGCAACCCCTCAAATGAAGAAATTAACTAGGGCTAGGAAGATGGCTCAGACAATAAAGTATCTATCTTATAAGAAAGCATGAGAGATCTGAATTCAATCCCCAGAACCCATGTAAAATAAGCCAGGCATGCAAGTAGATTTGCAGTCAGCACTGGGGAGGCCAGGACAAGCAGGTTCCCAGGGCTCACTCACCAAATAGTCTAGGCTAGAACTGGTAAACTCTAAGTCAAAGAGAGATTCTATCTCAAAAAGAAAATCACTGGAGGTATTTGGCCTCCACACACATGAACTCACACTCAATTAAATACAAATAAAGGAATATAAAATTTTTAAACTGGAAGGAATTTATCCCTTACTCCATGATCTTTTAATTTTATTTAAAGACAACACTTCTTTTTAAAATGTATCACATGGGGCTGGAGAGATGGCTCAGTGGTTAAAAGCACTGACTGGTCTTCCAGAGGACCTGAGTTCAATTCCCAGCAACCACATGGTGGCTCACAACCATCTGTAATGAGATCTGGCACCCTCTTCTGGTCTGCAGGCATAATGGAGGCAGAATGTTGTATACATAATAAATAAATAAAATCTTAAAAAAAATGTATCACGTGTACCAATAAGAATATACCATAAGGACCCTGGAAAGCACCACACACATTTGATCCTAATACTCATGAGACAGAAGCTCAAAACTGTGAGTTCAAGGCTAGCCTAATCTATACAGCAAGTTACAAACCAGTCAGAGCTACATAATGAGATCCTGTCCCAAAAGAAAAAGAATATATAATAAATTTATAGATATTGGAAACTGAAATACATCCTAAGTCAATGTGGAAAATCAACAAGCACAGAAGAAAACATAATGGTAGAAGGTAAGTAAGAATACAGTCCTAATTATCTGAGGGATGAAACAGAGTCTTGCTATATCGGCTAGCCAGGCTAAAACTATCAGCAATCCTCCTAATTACAGTTATGACAGATTGGGGCATGTGCCAGCATGCCCAGAAAATGTTAAGTGCTATTAATCCCAAAAATATATCATAAAATCCGTAAACCAAAAGAAAAGAACAAGTAAGTTGCTATAGTTAAAACCAAAGTATTTTTAAGAAGAGAAAAGGGGACATTGAAGAACACTTACTGCAAACACTTAACAAATAAAAAACTTAAACTCAGAAGGTTTCACGTGCATATCCTAGTTTTCCATAGATTTAAAAAATGTAATATCCAGAGAAACCCTGCCTTGAAAAACAAAACAAAAAAAAATGTAATATCAAGCTGCTTCTGTCTTTGTAAAAGGGTAGCAAAGAGGTCACTGCTTTCATTATGCTAAATTGTGTGCATTAGGTTTGTGTGTGTCCACACGCAACATGGAGCATGTGTGGAGCTCCAAGGACAACTTATGGGACTCTGCTATCTCCTTCCACCTCAAAGATCCAACTCGGGTAGGTCAGCAGGGTTGACCGTAAGTACCAACTACCTGCTGAACCATTTTGCCAGCCTGATCTAAAAATTTTTTAAACTTTATTTATTTTATGTGCATTGGTGTTTTGCCTCTGTGAGAGGAATACATCCCCTGAAAACTGGTGTTACAGATATGTATGAGCTGCCGTGTGGATGCTGGGAAATGAACCCAGGTTCTCCGGAAGATCATCCAATGCTTTTAACCACTGAGCCATCTCTCTAGTCCCCCATTTTAAACTTTCTAAATGAAATCAATTCTTTTACTTTTCTAGAATTACGTTTTATCATTCAAGGAATTTTCACGTCTTTTACGGATTTTTTTCACATGACTAAGAATTTGAAAAATGATAGTTAATCCAAAATAAGTATGGCCTTCCTTGTAGAAGCTTCAAGAACATTTCACAGCAAATTAGAACTTAGAGAGCATTCACTATACTATAGTAATTATAGTTTTTAACTACTATACTACAAAAACCCATGTTTCTTCTAAGGACACAGGTTATATGTCCTTGACATGGCCATGACATGACATTAAGTTATAGTCACAATAACCACCACTTTTTTAAAACTGGGAATTTCTCAGATACTGTGTACAATTATTTATATGCAGTTATCTTATTTAATCCCTATATATTACATGTTAAATATTGTTATTTTACAGTTTTAGAAATATAATTTGACTGTAATAGTAAGTAGATTGGGATTGACACTCTTAACGTGCTAGACCAAGGAGAAAAGGATCAAGTGGTGTAAGGCTTGCTGTACAATCCTGATGATTTAAGTTTAGATTCCCAGCACCCATGTAAAAGCCAAGAACAGGAGTATCTATTTGTAACTCCAACACTGGGGGCACATAGACAGGTGGAACTCCACAGTTTTCTGTCCAGCTAGTAGAGTCAGATAGACAACCTCCCAGTTTAGTAAAAGAATGTTTTGGTGGTGGTCTACACCTTTAATTCCAGCACTTGGGAGGCAGAGGCAGGCAGATCTCTATGAGTTCAAGGCCAGCCTGATCCACAGAGTGAGTTCCAGGACAGTTAGGGCTACACAGTGAAATCCTGTCTTGAAAAACCAAAGACACAGAGACACAGAGAGAAAGAGAGAGAAACTGAGAATGTTTTATTAACTAAGGTGGAAAAAAAGCAAAGACATTCAACACATCCACCTGTAGCTTCCTCAGGTATATGCACAGATGAGTATACTCAAACATGTATGAACCCACAAAGAAAAAAATGTAATATAATAAAATTATTTTGAGATGCACACCTCCTCTATGAAAAAATATTTTAAAACATGACATATGTAAGTCATGTTGACACACATGTATAATCCAACACTGAAGAGGCTAAGGCAAGAAGATCACGGAGCTCACTATCAGTCTAAGCTACATAGCAAACTCCAGGCCAGTCTGGGCTACACGAACCATGTTACTTTACCTCATTATTTTATGATAAGCAAGGCAATATCTACTTGACACCACAATGCCTATGACTTCACAGTTTCAGTTTTTGTGCATATCAAGAACTTTTATTTAAACATTACACTTATTTAACAGACTATAGCATACAAATAAGCACAATTTTCATCCCCTGGTACATGTGACAAAGATTTAATATACCTAATACTTTATTTCCTTTGAATGAAAGAGTTGTCATTTAAATTTGAATTAGAGAACACAATGTTCTTATACTTAATTGAAGATTTCTAAAAAACACAAGAAACTGAAATATTGTATCAGTAAAGATTTCCAACTTCACTAGGAAATTAAGAATCAATTAGTGTTAAGATTTACTTTGAAGTGTATAAGTATAAGGATATATAAAATGCATTATCTAAGATTTTTACATACCCGTTACAGAATCTGATCTGGAATGCTCTTCGCTGTCTGAATCCTCCAGTAAATCATCGCTTAAAAGACAAAGTAAGAACAATTTAAACTTTAAAAAAATGTACCATATGGGCTATAGATATAAATCAGCCACAGTATAAGAGTCTGGCATGTATAAGACCTTGGGTTCAATCCCCATCACCCAAAAAAATAACATACATCACATAAGAAAGCAACAAGACACAGCATGGCTATGTGTGGCTAGTCTCTTGTGCTATAGTAGGGGCAATACTGAGGATCAAACTTAGAGTTCTATGTGTTCTACTCAAAGACTGTTAACTCTGAACTAGGGACTGGAGAGATGGCTCATTGGTTAAGAGCACTTGTTGCTCTTAAAGAGAACCCAGGTTCACTTCGAGCACCCACATACATGGTGGTTCAATTTTCTGAGAGCCCTAATCCCCTCTTTTGACCTCCACAGGCACTAGACATGCATGTGGTGCACATACATACACACAGGCAAAACACTCACATACCTAAAATAAAATATTTAAAACATAAGAAAAAAACTGAGCTATAACCCCAGCACTGAAAAGCAATGTTAAAACAACTATTACACTAATCAAACACAAGCAATATACAAACTGTTAAAAAAAAATGTGATATTTAAGCTTGATAAATAACTGACAAACAATTATAAATCATTAAATGAATGTCTACAGTGAAGAATTTCTGTAGAATTCTGAAGAATACAGTGTGGAAGGAAACCTCTAAATCTTTGCAACATTTGTAGGTATGTGAATCTGTGATTGGAAGTAACTTAAAACAAGCAAGAGAGTAAAAGAGAGTGGCAGTTAGTTAAATTGAATTTGAACTTGTAAAGTAAAACTAACAATTAACAGTTATGTATATGTATATGAAATGTTTTATATGTGTATTCACACCAAGTCATTATGTTTTAACCATAAGCTTTTTGTGTGTTTATTGTATGAGACATGCAAGGTTAAGTGTCACAATCAAAAGATAGGAGTAAAGACAAGACAATGGTCTTATCCTTTGCCTTTCTCTCAGATGGCCAAGAAACTGTCAGTCCCCCTCTTTGCATCAACCTTTATTCATTTTCTTAGATTAATAGTCAAGCTCTACACCCTGTTGATCAACATATCACCAATATTTATCTTGATACTCTCATTCAAAAAAATAAAAAGATGTATTTTGTAGAAAGAAAATTCAATTCTCAAAAATACACTGCAGAAATCCATAGTACTTAGACATTTACTAATGCTATCTTGCATTTAAATAGAAATTTCTACTTAAGACTGCTGGCAAAGTATCAAACGCACACCTGTTTTTCTAGCTACCTGAGAGGCTGAGGCTCAAAGCATCCAGGCCAGCCTGGGAACACAATAGGGTCTTAGAATCTGTCTAAGAAAAAAGAAAGAAAAATTCCAATGCAATGCTTAAAATTTTGAAGTTTTTTTTTAAACCAATATTGGAAAATGTTCAGTGCCTTAGGTTTTTTTGTAAGTGATATTTAATACAAAAATACTGTCAGTTCAATTCATATGATTAGCTTTTTGTTATTGTTACTTTTGTTTTTCAGTGTTGAGCCTTCTGAATGCTGGCTAAGTAACCTACCACTGAGCAGATCCCACTCCCAATTCACTATAGTTTAAAATAATAAAGAGTAAAAACAAGCTTAGGATCGTCTGCTAACTAGTTTCAAGAATTTAAATCCTAATTACAAGTAAGAAGAAACCTAAAAAACTTAAATCTAAGAAAAATATTGTACTGGGGAGCTAGAATAAGCAAATAATAAAGCAACATCACACTGGGATTCAAATACCAAAGGTCTTTAGTATTAACCACATATTGCAAAGCTATACTAAGGTAAAAGCTATAATACAATATTTTTAAAGAAAGAATTCGGTGGTCTGGACAATACAGAGGTCTGAAAGTCTTCAAAAACATAATAATTTAAGCCGGGTGGTGGTGGCGCACGCCTTTAATCCCAGCACTCGGGAGGCAGAGACAGGCGGATCTCTGTGAGTTCGAGGCCAGCCTGGTGTACAAGAGCTAGTTCCAGAATAGGCTCCAAAGCCACAGAGAAATCCTGTCTCGAAAAACCATTATATATATATATTCCAAAGAGGAAATGTAGTGATCCTAGAAGTCTACTGTGATGCAATTTTTAATCCACAAATTAAAAATGTAAAATAAAGCTCTAATTGAAACTCAGGATTTAAATCAACAAGCCAATTTCATGATCCTCCATAATTGCAAACAAGGACAAAAATCAAGCATTCTTAGTTCTAGTGCTATTAGCAAACCGTTAATAAGAACTCAGACAACAACAGCTAAACTGTTTGCTGTTTAAATTCTCAACAGATTTATAGTAACAAAAAATAGCTCTAAGTTTTAATTCAGTCTATAGCAGATCTCAGGCCCAATTCCTTTATCTGCCAGTTCATTTCCACATGTTATTATCATGATGAACTACACAAACTTTTCAATTTGTATGTTGTGAATTATCAATTCCACAATTTTTATTGAACAAAATTCTGTATACTTAATAAAAACATGTCACCGAGTGTAGCAGTACACCTTTAATCCCAGCACCCGAGGCAGAAGCACAAAGATCTCTAGGTTTGAGGCCAGTATAGTCTATATCATAAGAATCAGACCAAACAGGGCTGCGCAATGTCCTCAAAATAAAAGGACATGACAGCAGTATAAGAACAATCACATCAGTAACACTGGACACTGAGAAGGTAAAAGGCAGACACTCTCAGTGCATACAGTTAAAGATGCTCCATTTTGCATCACCACTGACAGTTTTAACAGGGATAGCTGCTACAATTTATCATACACTGAATGGCTATATGAAAGCCTTCATTCTATTTATATGACTAAAACAGAGCTATGTGATATTAACCCAATTCAAAGTCAAGTGAACACTCTTGGGAAATGGAGGATTTTCTTGACTCTCCATACCAATCCTATAGATCAGATACAACCACAAAAACTAAGAATCTAGCAAAGAAGATAAAGGGAGACAATTCAATTACAGTGCCTCAATGTCTGTGTGGGCTGCACTCTAAAAGGGAAAGCAGGACAAAAAGCAACCAGACATTTCTCCCTCACTACTGCTAATATACAGTTCCAAGTAATTAGATACTCTTGTCTCATCTGAAGTCATTTTGCTACTCATTAGTGAAATTCACTTCCAGAACTTGAGAGATAAAAGAAAAGAGAAACCAGAATCATCAGGCACAGCTATTCTATGGAACTATCTGGTAAAAAGTAAAATTACAAATCTAATCCACTGGCTTAATTTCAGTATGTAAACTTTTTATTAAAAAATAAAAAGTTTTATTTTTTGTTATGTCTCTGATACTGAAGACAGAACTAAGGTCTTCACAAATGCTACATATGTACTCTTTTATATGTATGTGTATATATATATATGCATATTATCTTTATAATTACATTATTCTTACAATTTTTACACTTCCTAGGTTTTAGTTTTTAATGTGCCAATTACTTCTGATAGATAAGACTGATATTTCCTACTTCAAGACTTACACAGTATGATATTTATTGCACAGAAATGTGATTTACAGAGTAGCTTTAGAACAATATAGTGAATAATTTGTCAAATGTATTTTAGCCTCTCTAGTATAACTATGACTGCTAGTGTTTGCTGTTTGGCATTGTGTTTTCATTATCATATATTTATTCTTAATTACATCAGTATTTCTACCAACTCCTGTGGATCTCTACATAAAGGAAAATGTAATTTGGAGAAAAATGGTGTATTACACAGAGTGGCATCTTCTTTTTGTGTGGCTTTTTTTTTTTTTTTTTTTTTGTATTTTGAGACAAAATTCTCACTCTATGGTCCAGACTGGCATACAACTTGTAGAAGTACTAATAAGCACCAGATCTAACTAACCTGTAGTATTCTCAATGAAAACTTCTGAGATTCACATTGCTATCAAATTTCCAGCCAAACAAGAGAATATTGTCTACTCTCTAACTTAACCCATTTTCTATCTTTTTTTTCTATCTCATTAACTAATGAAGAAAATGAAATAAAAAAGAAAACATGTACCATTACAAATACCAATGAAACAAAATCATGTACCTGTCTCCTTCCAGTTTCGGTATGTCTGAGCAACTAGAGGAGTCTTCTAGCCATGCCAAAGTTGGTCTCCTTGAATCAACTCCTGAGCTTGGGTCTCCTGATAGGATCAGTTGTTGTACAATTGCTGGATCGTAGGCATTGATTTCAAATTTCAAGTGCACCTTCATGAGTTTGGAGACATCCCATACGCAGATCTTTCCACGTTTGGTGGCAGCAGCTAGAAACTGAGGGCAGCTCCCCGACCCAAAGCAAGATATTCTGTCAGCTCCATCTGCAGAAGGAAGCTGTGCAGGACTCGTTGCCAGTGTGACCGACAAGGGCACATTCTGGGTGTGTTCACCTTTCACAAAAGGGCAGTTGGGGGAATGTCTCTCATGTTCAGACCTTTACAGAGTGAAAAGGGAAAGTTTACTGAAGAGCAAAGCAGAACTCAAAAACTGTCTTCTTTAAGTATATGTTAAAAAGTCTTAATCTTACTAAATCATGCAAGTTTTTGTTCGGGTGAACGGTGAGGATGGGGTGCCAAATACAAGTATTTGAATGAAAGGCAGGGCTCTGAGCATGTTGAACAAGTAAGCACTCTACCACTCAGATGTATTTCCACCCGAACTGACCTTTCAATTGAACTTACCTTTATAAGATCACTCAATTATATTTAATCATTCACATTGTTTACAGTCCATATTCTAGGTGCTTATTATTAGCAGTTTTACTCACTTTAACTGACTGCAAGTGTGAAATCAGTACAAAAATACAATTCATGGCAAAATTATTTGCTCAACTTCCTAATAACTCTTTTATGTTTCCTTTTTGGTTTTCTTTTTCTTTCTTTTTTTATTTTTTATTTTATTTATTTGTTTGTTTGTTTGTTTGCTTGTTTGGATTTTCAAAACAGAAAATCTTTGTAGCCCTGGCAGTCCTGGAACTCACTCTGTAGAACAGGCTGGCCTAGAACTCACAAGATCTGCCTGTTTCTGTCTTTAAGTGCTTGGATTAAAGGAAAGCGCCACCACCACCCAACCCTCCTTTTAGTTTTCTGTCGTGTGTTTCTTTTTATAGGTTATCTACTTGCAATTTCAAAGCACTACTTGAGGACAGGATTCTAATATCAAAGATGGGAAAAAATTGTTTCCTTACTTACAAAGAAAGATAAAATTTCACTCACAAAACATGCTGTTCTTCCGAACAGACATATTTCTTTTCACACTGCACCTGCAGTTTACTATAGTAACATCCTGGGTAATTTGTAATGCACAGATGTCTTTCCTAAATCCATTTGCATTATACCACAAAGCACATGTTTGAGTTACATTCTCTCCCTGTTTAGTTCTTCTAGTGCATTTTCCCCTTCTTACCTTCTTGTACCACAGTTTTAACTTTTTTACTAAACATTTATAGTCACATATAACTGTGTAAAATAAAAGTAAAAGCTAACCAGTTTTATCTAATTCTAGTAATCTTTATCCCACCTTCCAGATAAGAATTAAGATTTTAACTAGTTCTAAAGTATTTTTATCCATTTATGTACACGGAGAGAAAAAACAGGGTTTATTGCTTCAAACAATTTCAGATCATCGGTGGCACTCCATAACAGCTTTCATGAAACAAGACCATATAGAATGTTAACTGACGGTGATCATTAGGGAATATCAAGTTCTTCTAACTCTCCATTGTTCATTCATCATGAATTTGTCACATTATATTAGCTACAGCACTTTAAAAAGAAAAAAGTCAGGGTATCAGTATGCAGTAGTAGATGGCATCAAACTCACAAAAAAATTTTACCTGCCTCTGCTTCCCAGATGCCACAGCACTCTTGATGGGCATTTAAGAATTTTCTAGTTTTTCATTGCAATGGCCAAACTTGTCACAATGCCCAACATACAAAAGGAATTAACTCCTTAGAGTTGAGAAGAAAAAGCAGAACTGACAGGAAGTAGAGAATACCCAATTTTATTTCTTGAATAATTCAACCTCCCTCCAAAGTAACTCAACTTTCACAAGTAGAATATTAAGGTCATCTTTTCTCCTTTAAATTGTCTTTTCTCTGTTAAAAGATTTGGAAAGGACCCATGCTCAGCAATCTATTTTCTCACCTGTGTACTTAAGAGCAGTGAACGTAGAACATCAGAATTTACCAAATTCTTGAGTTTTTGAAATCCCATACTCTGGGACATTCCAAACCTCTCAGCATATAAAAAAAAAGACGGCACTTAACTGCCCAAGTTGAAATTTTAATCTTCTTCTCCAACATGAAAAGTTATAAAGATAGGTACCTTCCAAGTTGTGAATTGCGGCTTACACCTATAATTCCAGCACTTGGGAAACTGAAGAGGATAACTGACTTGAGTTTTAGCCCAACTTGGGTTACATAGTGAGTTAATGTGTAGCCTGGGCTCATTTTAGAATTACCTCCATTTTTAAAAGAGACAGTTTTGACTGGGTAAAGAGACACATTCCTCTGAACACAGATCAAGGTGGAAGGAGGATCAATAATTTGATGGCAGGAAGGATACTGTGGCACACAACTTTAATCTCAGCACAATAGAGACAGAAGCAGTTGGGTCTTTTTGAGTTCTAAACCAGTTTGGTCTATACAGTAATCCAGAATTACATAGTGAAAACCTATCTGCTGAATAGCGAGTTCCAGACAAGTCTAGGCTACATGAGACCCTGTCTCAAATAGATGTGCACAAACATTCTTACATATGTGTGTGTTTTGGGTCAGAGATATAGCTTCATGGCTAATAGTGCAGCTGCCTTCTCAGAGTTCATTCCAAGTACTCACAGCAGGCATCTCATGAGTACCTGTACCTCCAACACCAGGGATCATATGCCTTTTCTGGCCTCTGAAAATACTCTCATACACATGTGTGTACATACACAAACATACATATAAACTAAGAACTAAAATAAACTAAAAATAAAATTTAAAATATGTATCACATTCTATAGTATCATTGTGTTAATCCAGTTCCAGAAGATCCAACACCTTCCACACAGACGTGTATGCAGGTCAAACACTAATGCACATAAAATGAAAATAAATCACTTTAAAAATGAATAAATTAATGAATAAGTAAATAAGTAAATAAATGACCAGAAGGGAGGTGCTGGAAAAACAGTTAAGTAAAGAACACTTATTGCTCTGACAAAGAACTCAGGTTCAGTTTCTAGCACATGTCCCCAGCACTCAAATGGAAGCTCACAATCACCTGTACTTATAGTTACAGCGGATCTTATATACCAAGCATGCACATGGTACACTTACACACATGCAGGCAAACATTCATACATATAAAATTAAAATAAGTAACTTAATGAGCTAGGGGTATACCTTAGTGTTAGAACCCTTGACTAGAATTCTGAAGGTCCTGAGTTCAATACCAAGCACTATCAAAAGAATTTTAACTGAAAAATATAGTCCCAGTTTTCCCCTACTGATAATAGCACCAACTTTAGAGGGTTACTATAAGAACTGAATGAGTTATAAAACAAAGTATTTAAAATAATATCAGCCATACAGTATGACATATATTTACTACTACTACTATTTTTTTTTTCTAAAATAAGGTCTCAGAGTAGATATTAGTAAATCTTGGGTCTCGCTACATAGCTAATGTTAATCAAGGATTAAAATGTTGTACTCTCTAATTCACAGACAGAAAACATCCTCTAAAAAGTTACTTAAAATTAGAACTGTACTGTAACTGTACCTCCTCTCCAAGGATTCTCTGTTTACCTTTCTTCAGTGGTCAGAACTGCACTGCTGAATTAGTGCTAGGGTTCATTTAACACAGCATCTGCTCTGGTGAGAACCTAGTTCTATTTTTTGGTACTTTCTCCATGTAGATTTTGGAAACTCTTGTGACAGGACTACCTCATTCTCATAAGATAGTGACAATAACACAGAACAAAAAGACAAGAAGATTACATCAAGATCGGAAAAGTAAAATTTAGAAGGACTATAATACTAACAGCCTACTATGCCCAGAAAACTCAAGACTCACCAAGGTTCATCCGTAGGCTCCCAACAAACGAGACATACACTACAGGTAAAGCACATGGCTCTATCATCTCCAGATGAGGCAGGCTGCAAAATATGTTAAAATAGAGGAGAGAGCAAGTAGGCAGGCAGGAATGGAAGGGAAGAAGAGAGAAAAGGAAAAACCAATCATTATTAAAATGGCTTTTCAATAGCAACTCTTCAAAAAGTTCCCAAATTCAAGTACAATTTTCTAAGGAAAAAACAATAATTTATAGTGCTACTCTGCTCATACATATATTAAGAAGTGTTTGATAAATTAGCAGGCCCTGCCTCGAGAGTAAATAAATAAATAAATGCAGTGTTTCACTGCATACTTCTGTCTGGTCTGCAACACACAATCTCCCATTCCTAAGTCTCCCAAGTGACAGCATTTCAAGTGTATACCATTACTTCTGCCTTGCAAAATTATTTATTACATTACCTCAAGAATCTACTACTAGTTTATAAAAGCAGAAGTCAAACACTGAAAATATCAAATATCCAATGAGAACATTTTTCAAAAATGACAAAAATCACATGAACTTGATAGCAAAAAAAAAAAGGGAGGGCTAACGTGTCTAATCTGAAAGATTAAGCATTAAATAATTCAATAATTATTTGCCCCCCCAAATTCCTGATGTAGGACATAAAATCAACATCAGAAACAAATATGTGGCAAACAAAACACACAAACACATATACAAACAAGCACATAGCTAGATTGCATAAAACACTTTCAAAAGAAAATTTTTTAATTAAAATGCTGTGCTTACTGAACCTACAGCACACATGGAAAAACATCTATTTTTGATGTTTTTTACCTGATGATAAAATCCAGCTTGAGCCATGGGATCTGGCTGTGCCCACCTATAGCCAACATGAGGCCAAGAAGTGAATGTCTCCCTTCTGTTAGCCTCACTATACATCAATGCCCTAAAAATAAACAAACAGCATATAATTGGAGCTAGGCATCAACCAGAGGGAAACTCCTATTTAATGCTACAGAAAAGAAAATTACTGAAATATCAAAAACAAGTTGAAAAAAGCTGGGTGGAGGCAGCGCACACCTTTAATCCCAGCACTCAGGAAGCTAAGACAGGTGGATCTCTGTAAGATTGAGGCCAGTTTAGTGTACAAAGCAAGTTCCAGGACAGACAGGATTAAAAAGAAACCCTGTCTTGAAAAACTTTAATTAATTAATTAATTACTTAGTTAGATAGTTAGTTAATTGGAATGATTATGTTCAAATTTTTATTTTCAACACAGACCCCTAAAAACTGTAAAGAAAAAGAAAAGCTGGTTAATGGCTACAGCAACTGGATAATTCCACAGGCAGATTAAGTTAACTAATAATGACCAATCAGACAACAGGAAATGAAGAGAATGACAGAGAGCCCTGCACTTTTTCCTCAGGCCACAAGCCAGCTGAAGTGGGTCTTGTTTTTGCTATTCTGTGTAAGCATTTAAGCAGGGCTTGTGTTTTATTTGCTTTTTAAGTTGTTTTTAACTAGAAATTGGTTTACTGTTCTTTATCTAGAAAAATCTTCCTCCAGGGGAGCTATATACTCTAGCAAACTTTAGTTTAGTTTTAAAATTGGTTGAGGCACCAACGGTCTCAACTGTGTAGCCTTGGCCGTCCTGAAACTCACCATGCAGCTTCAAACTCAGCCAGTCTCTGCCTGCTGGGATCAAAAGTGTGTACCACTAAAACCAGAAACTCTAGTACATTTTAAAAACCATAATCAGTCTATAATCACAGCACTCAGGAGGCTGAGGCAAAAGCATATGAGCTGGAACAGCCTAACTCAACTATCTAGAAAACAGAACAATAAAATCCTCACACTTTCATAGTAGAATTAACCTATAATTAAGGGTATCAGTGA